CCCCCCCCCCCCCCCCCCCCCAAGGAAATCCTGGACCCGGCTGTTGCCCTGAATGGGGTCCAGGTTTGGCTCATTGTCTCAGCGGTCCCACTTTGTCCTTGTAGGCCGATATGCTCTATGCAGCCGATCGACTTGAACTTCATTGATGACCCGTCGGAAAATGGCCCCACGAACAAAATCGAGATCAGCATGGACTGCGTCCGGATGCAGGATGCGGACCCAGGTGATCCCATGTGGGTGAGTAGCAGGAAAAGTTTCTTTAACTGTAATTCTGCCAAGTTTGATGTTCCCCATCGATCAGAGCCCTTGAATATCATGAGCTATAAAGGTTTTCTTGCTTTTCTCTGTGGGGCAGGGTCTTTTTTCATAGGATCTGGGCATCTATCACCTAATTCCTTCCCCAGCTGGCAGCGGCAACACCCTTGTCACCCCTGGCTTTACGTGTGGCAGGTCATGGGGTATCTGCAGTGCTCCAGATATTATGTATTGCAGGCTCATGGATAGGTTTGACATGGTGGTTTTGGGGTGATTCCTGCAATTAATGGCTGCTTGCCAACATGGGAGGGGACTAGATGCAACAGCTTAGATTGCCAATTTGCATCCTGATGTATAAATTTTAGTTTTGGCAAGATGTGGCTAATGTGCGCGTGCAGGGCTGAGGCCGTTCACAATTACTCTGCACCGCTTCTTGAAGGCACGTACCTCAACATCCCCTGATTGTGGGGCTGTTTCCTCTGACCCTTTTTGATGGTATTGAATGATGGGGAGCGAACTTGGGACCAAACCGGTCGGGAGTCCGTTCAAGCTCTGTCTACTGACTCTCACTTCTGCCTGCCTGGGACAAGTGAGAGTCAGTAAACTGTGTTTCCAATGAGATGCACCTTGAGAAGGGTTTTAAAATAGTAAATGGTGAAGAAATGGTAGGTGGGGATTTGCTATTGACTCTCACAACACAAGAACGGGGGGCTGCAACATGAAACTAATAGGTGGGGGGTTTTAAACGAACCGAAAGAAGTTCTTTTTTGTACCGTGTGTAATTAAAGGTTGGAGCTCGTTGCTGCCAGATGTGGTGGAAGCTGATGGCTGAGCTAGATTCAAAAAGGGACTGGACCCATCCTGGAAGGAAAGGGGCATCGGTCGCTATTGAGCATGGGTGGTAGGGAAACAGCCTGTGAACTTGATCTTCCAAACGCTGGAGGCTGCAAGTGCGAGGAACGGGGTGTGGGAAGCCCTGGTCAAACCCAGGTCGTGCTCCCGTCCAGCCTCCATTTCTCTGTCCTGTTTGACGTGGCACTGGGCAAGATGGTCTGACCCAGTTATGTTCTAGCTCCAGGTGTTTCCCCAGCTCTTTTCCTGCCCGAGAGGAGGTGTTGGGGGGCTATGGAGCCAAGCGATGGGCTCGCTTTCAGCAAGAGCACTGCCGTATCTACAGCAGGGACCCAAAGGTCTGCTGGTGGCGGTGGGCCGTCCAGCTGCAGGCCACAGGGCGGGCTGCCAGACCTTTACGTTCAAGGGCTGTAATATCGAGGGCCACCATGACGAGCCCCTTTGCAGCACTTTGTGGACCGCACGCGACTCCTGGCAACCCCGGCTTTGTTGGATGGAGCCTGAAGTGCTGCGAGGCTTGCAAGGGGCGCCAGCTCCTGCTTGCAAGACGGCTTCTCTTCTCGACTTGCATGCTGTCCACACCTGGACGGCCTGGGCGTTGTGTGACAGCGAGATCCCCCTCTGTGTCATCTTCCAGCTGTTGCTGGCATGCACCTTCCTTGCAGCTCTGCCTTTCTGCTTTATGAGTCGGGTAGATCTCTAGTGTTGAAGCTGCCTGGCCGCTTCCCCTCCTGGCAGGGATTATAGTGCTTGCAGTTTAGAGGTTTCCAGGCCTTCCCCGCTCCCACCCTTCATCCCGATAGGCAGAAACTTCATAGCATCCTACAGAAGTGGGGCTGGAAGAGGTCACATCTATCCAACCTCCTGTTTGAGCCAGGTTCACCTCTGTCCAAACCATCCTTTATGGATCCATTATCTAGCAAAACTACTGTCGACCTTGACACAACACAAGACATCACACCCCAACTTGCCAGGATCCCACTGGATCTCCGAACTTTCCCGGAGCTCCTGATTCATCAACCCATGGGGGGGCAAGTGGAAGGCCTGTGTCCGGGGAAGGTCTCAAACGCCTCCCAAAAGCTTGCATGGCTGTGGTAGGAAGGAGCAGTCCTGCTCAGAGAGGCTCCTGGCCTTTAAGAAGTGGGTTTCCATTAGCATCAGTCATGCCTTTCAAACATCTCGGGCTTTTGAAAGGCAGCACCTGTAACTTCGCCTGCAAAGCTCGTGCTAGAAGCTGGACCAGCTTTGCTGTGTTTAAAGTCTTTGCACCGTGGCTTCTAACATGGCCAATGTGCGCTCCAGGTCCTCTGCTCTGTCTGTTTCGAGGAAGATCTCCCCATCTTCTGTTTGCCAGAGCAAGGGAGGAGCGACGAGGAGCCTTGGAGGCGATTTCCATGTGGTTTTCTGGCTTTGGGGAGGTTTGATCTTGGCCCTTCAGGAGGCGTTTCGCCATCTGCATGCAGGGACTTGCTTGATTTCATTAATGTTCAGGAGTGTTGCACAGGATTGGTTTCTCCCCGTGCTCCCATGCAGCGTACGGGCACATCGAGCGCTTTCCTAAGTGCCGTGGGCTCTGACATTCATTTCTAAATGCGCCAACCTTGCAGCGGGGGAGAGCAACCCCTGTGCTTGGTCAGGCCCCATGCAGAAGGCTTGCTAATGCAGCCTTGACCCGGTGCAGACTGCTCGGGCTGGAAGCACTCCCCTTCCCCCATAAATTTGCAAGCCTGGCTGACAGGTGACATCCCCCCCGTCTCGCCGTGGAGAGGAGTCCGCCTTCGCTTTGTGGTGGCTGGGGCCAGTGGCCGCTCTGGCTTGCGCTGGCAGGGAATGCGTAGCCCCGGGGAAGGCGCTTGCCGCCGTCGCGTTTCATCTGCAATCCCTCCTCCCTCTTGCCTCCGTCTCCTCGCTTCCTGCCGATCGCTGCAGGGCAGCTGCTCTCCCAACACCTGTCTGTAAGGTAACCTCGGCCCCCCGTGTCACCGGCAGACGCGGCGGGCCAGGCGCAGGTGATTGGAGCGCGAGAGTTGAAGAGGGCAGGTAAACACGGAGGAATGTAGTAGAGGCGGAGGGGCTGCGCGAGACGCTGCGGCGGTCTGGAGTATATCTTCCTGCGGGCAGATCGAGGCCAGCCCTCCAGCTGCAGTGCGCAGCCGGGCAAAGCAAGTCCTAGAGCCGTGTCCCAAATCGGCGTCTTTCCACTGTCCTCGGTGGGGTGCAGATGAAGCTCTGGGATGGTGCGTGCCCCTCTCTTTAGGGGTAGTGCAGGTTTTGGGAGGGGGGGAGGGGGTCTTGCCTCCACTGCCTGGATGGGCCTGTCATTACAAATCTTACTGCTTCCCTATTAGGAGCTCTGTCCGCTTGGCTAAATGCAGAGCGGGATGAAAACCACCGGCGCAGGGTGAAATCCTAATATCGGGGTGTGACGACCCGCATTGCAGGTGTCGGCGTGTCATGCAGTGGTGGAGTGCACGTGTATGGCATGCAGATCAAGGAGGGAGCAGCAAACGGAGCAGCAGATCGGGCAGGGGGAAGGTGCGGGGCTCATTTGTGGCACGCTGGCCAGAAAGGTCGACCTCTGCTGCTCTAGTGCATGGGTCTGCTGTCGAGTGCTTCAGTGCGCTGTTTTAAGGGCGAGAGTCGCCTTTGGCCCCGCTCTTAGGATGCTGCGTAAAGCAGGCGTCCTTGCAGCTGGGCTTTCCTCAGCGCTTCATTTGCTTCCACGTCCCAACCGAGGGGAGAGCATCCAGGTCCAGGATGGTACAGCGTATTTGGGCACAGCACAAGGAGTGTGGGTGACGTGGGCTTCAAGGCGAGGGGCACCAGCCCACCATGGTGCAGGTGCTCAGCTGAGAAAGGGGTGCCCCGCACGGGACGTTGCTTGTAATATAGTGAGAGAAGGAAACGCAGGACTGTGGGGTGGCGCGCTGGAGATGAGGGGAGACGTGGGTGTGGTTTCAGCTCTGCCACAGGCTGCCTATGTCACCCTGGGTGAGTCCCTTAGCCCTGGTGGGGCAGATGGCAAGTCTCCCTCTCGCAGGCAGGCTGTGGGGATCGGACCCTAAAGGTTGGGAAATGCTCATTTTTGGCAGGGAGACCTTAGGACAGGCCATCGGGGAGAGGCTGAGCTCCCAGGAGGGGTTTAGATAGGGAGAAGGGGGTTGGCTCTGTGGATCCCACCAGGACTTCAGGTCTCAACTTGACGCAGTTAGTTTGGCCTCCGATTGACACAGGCCAGAGGCTTCCACCTCAAGCTTTTGCATCCCGCCTTGTGACCTCTGGCTAGAGGAGGGTAGAAAGAGGCTCTGTCTGGGATTAATCCATAAGTCGGGCTGCGCTTGGGGCAGTGCATCGTTGCCCGAATGAGGGGTCTGGGCTGCACGATTCTGCCCCTGGTCCCAGCTTCCCTGACAGCTGGAGGCGACTGCATCCATGCATGGGCAGAAGACGAGAAAGCTCCTTGTGAGCTGGTGCAGATCAGATGAAGTCTCGAGGGGTGGAAAACCCCTTCTTCCTGATCACAGCCACGGGAGGAAGAGGAGGAGGCTGCCTTTTCTCCCCCTGAGCTGAGACTGCCAGTTCCCACCCTCTGCTTTGCAGAGGAAACATCCTGCTCATGCCGTGGCAGATGAACTGGCCCCTCCCAGGGTGACCAGGGGGCAGGAGGGAACGACGAGGGAATCAGGCAGGACTTGAAGCATCTGGTGCATCAAAGCTTTGAGATGCAATGGGATCCTGGCAGGTTTGGGTGCGATGTCTTGTGTTGTGTCAAAGTTGATGGTAGTTTTGCAAGTTGGTGAGATACTAGATTTGTAGAAGGTGTTTTTGGAGACCGCCTCTGAGTCCCTCTGGCTGCTAAGCCTTCCTCTTCTCTCCCTCACTTACTGTATGCCAGCAAAGAAGCCAGAAATGGGGTCACAGGTTCCTTCTCTGAGAGATGGAGTCCAAGCTCCCTTCTTAGGGAAAGGGTGGGAGGTGGGAATCGCAGGGGTCACTACCCTGGGATAAGCAGGGGGGTGCTTCATGGGCCACATGCACACATTTCATGTGGCCCCCGTTCCTCTCGCGCGGGCTCAGCTGTGTCATCCCCTTCCTTCCCTCTTCACCTGCTAGCAAGCAGTCCCCCAATA